ACACACACACACACAGTCTTGATGTAATTCGTAATTAACTCATGGCTAATCAATAAAGCGTTTAACACAACGCACAATAGACACACAGGGGATGATCCCCAAGCCAAACATATTGGATGTCACTGATCGTTACAAGGTGAGGACACCCTGTCTGTCACACAGGGTTGGAGGGTGAGGGTGGGGGCAGCTGGAGAAGATTGCAAAGGAGAGGAGAGGGGGCATGAATGGCAGGATGGAGAGAAGGGCAGAGAGGGGATGAGGGGGATAGAGGGATGAAAAGGTGAGAAGGAGATGCAAGGAGAGAATCACATTTCAAACTCACCGAATCAGCCCCCCAACACACACACACGCCACACACACACACACACGCACACACACACACACACACACACACACACACACACACACACACACACACACTACCACCACCACCGGCCATTATACTTACAGAAACATATGATATGTACTTATCAATGACATCAGTGAATAATGGATTAAGAAGAAGGCCTCACTCACGCCTCCTGACAGAGTTCATTCATTTATCAGTTCATAAGATGAGAAAAATGCCATTAAGGCTGATAATAACAAACAAGATGAGAGCATTTGGAAAGTTTGGTGTCAGCACCATCATCAGCACAAGCTTTTCTCAGTCTGCTGGTATTCTTTCACTGTGAAGCAGGACTGTTTTGCTACAAGCACCATCTTCTTCAAACACCTCAATTTCAAAAGCAAAAGCTCAAACTTTTTTCCTTTTTTACATTTGTATGAACTAAATGAGTTTCTCTCCAAAGTAGAAACGCAATGTGTGCACACAGTTGAATCTACAATCAGCTGTGACAGGAAGTGGGTGGGGGTGGGTGGGGGTTTGTTTAACAACAGGTTCTGCATGAACTCATTTGTATTCTTATTTTAAAGAAATAAATGCCTAGTTACTTTCATTTTGTGTGTCTTTTCTTTGAAAACAATAACCCAGTAGCCTTTTTATGCCCTCGTAAAATCACTTGCACACAGGCTAAGCGATTCTCTAGAACTTTGCTTGAAAAGACAGAAACTCAAGCATCAGAAAATCTGAAATGCACCTAGTGTGCATGCACCGCAACCACTGCCTGCGCATCACTGAGCTCGTAACACAATTACATCTGCATCTAGGTATAAAAAGAGGTGGAGGTTTACTCAAAAGGTGTAAAAGAAAAACCAAACACAAAGTGATGACCAATAGGAGCAAAGGCCTAAAAGGCATCCAGAGAGAGAGAGGAAAAAAGAAGAGAAAAGCACAAGAGCGAGATTTAAAGAGGAAAACATGGCGGAGAGAAAGCGAGAGGGGATCAGCGCTCTCAGTGTGAATAAGCTTAGCTGCAACGAAGCACAACTCTCTGGCTTTATCTGATCAGTCTGTGCCATGTAGTCTAAATCACAGCCATACCACTCATATTAGAAGAGCCGGAGCACTTTTAATTATAAACCCATCCACAGGGGCCGGAGAATATGATAGCATGTTTGAAAAACTGGAGCCAGAGAGAGCGAGAGACAGAGAGAGCGGGAGAGTTCACTGGCACCATGAGAGCTTTTTAGAACGACCAGCATCATCGCTGAATACTAATGTGTTTTACCTTGAGGCTGACCATTAACATACACAAAGCAAACGGCCACACACAGACACATATTTATGCTCTCAAAGACATTCAATCAGATGCATATTACACATACATGCCTGCATTTCAATATGCATGAGCGCGTATGTGGTGCTGTTTTGTTTGTGTGTGTTTTGTTGGGTTTTTTTCCCCAGCTCGGCCTAATGGGAGAACCACGGTGCTGCCCCCAACCCCCAGCCCCTCATGTGTCTGCATAACATGTGTGTGTTTGTGTCTGTGTGATGCAGACACACTGACACAGTAATCAGTGAAAAGGGAAGGCCCTGGATGAAGGAGACGTGGCCAACCAGCTGTCAATCACGCTACAAACACAAACATTACAGCACAAATACCCATTCATTAGCACCAATAAACTCGTCCTTGAGAAGAAATAGTAACATCGCTGGAAGGCTTTTTTTTTTCATTTTTTTTTTGAGGATCATGGGTCACTGCGCAATGTTTTCAGGACTAACTAAACTACGTTCAGTATTACGAGTTCAAGTCTTTTTTTTCTCAGTTTAAGCCATTCTCCTTCCTGCCTCTCATCATCGAGTATCATGCCATGATACTTATAACCTCAAAAGGTATCAGCAAGGCAATTTACGCCACATTCAAAGGAAAATCTAAGCCTCCTTTGCTATAAATCTCTTTATATGATGATGCTATTTTAACACTTTCATGTTTACCTGAAATTGACCAAAAAAAAAAAAAGCACAAGAAGTTAAAAGTAGAATTTGACGGGGCTCGACAGATTGAACCAACTTCAGCAAAAGAGCTGTCGGCCGTGGCGACACGAAGAAGCATGCCAAAAATAGCAAAATCCTCAATTTAACTAAACAAACAGTTAAAAACATTGAAATTGTTACGTTTTGTGAAATCAGCAAGGCACGTAAAAAGAGACAAGTTAGAAACAACGTCTCTCTCGTTACTAAAAATGCGCTCCCACACTTGTTTATTAACAATGTCACAAAGCCTCACGTTACAGTTGGGTCTCTTAAAAGAACCACACTCATCTATTGCACAGCATTCTGAGTGACAAATCCACCTCTGTGGTGCCAGTGAACAGAAGGTGATTGAAGGTTTCTGCAGCAGACTCTGCAGAGTAACCGGCCTGTGGCTGTCCCGCTCCTCCGCATGATGTAATGCCCAGCTTTGATGTTGCTTTCAAGTTTGAGAGTGGACAGACAACTTTTCAAAAAAAGAAATACATAAAAAAGAAGAAGAAGAAGAAGAAGAGGTCTGAAAATGCTAGAGTGGACATAAATTTCCATATGCGGACAGCATTTTAAAAGTTATCTGCCACAATGTGGACATGGTCGGACTTTGAGAAGCGCAGGGCACGAAGCTGTGGAGTTTGAGGATTAAAGCTTTGAAGATACTAAAATGCTGACCGCCAGAAGAAGGGAGGTGGCTGGTCAGTCCTGCAGCTGTTTGTTCAGGAGGCAGGAACACATACGGACACAGCTGTCAGATATTTGCTGAGCAACACAATATACTGGCATCTCATTAATGAAGAATGCAACACAAACTGTTTAAACACAGAAGCACAAACAGCGTCCTTTTGTAGGCCACCACGCTCTTTAGCTATAGTTCATGTTACAAGACTGTGTCAGCATTAATGCAGTCTCAGTGGAAGCTCGTTTCCCCCACTGAAAGGAAAAAAAAAGGCTTCCATAACAAAAAAATTTGAGTTAATAAGTCGAAAATTTGAAAAAACAGCTTTTCAGGTAGTGGGTTGAAATTTTGAGCTAGCTAGCAGCCAATCAGGAAGGTCTGTGAAGGACATCATTTCCTTGTTACCTGGATGGCGATGGTGTTAAAATGCCTACTGTAGCTGCATAAAAGGTTTAGAGTCAGTGAGTTCATGTCAAACTACTGGACAGCTAATATCTTCGAGGTAGCAAAGAAATGACTTCTTAACACTAATCATCGTTTCTAAGACGATGTATTCTAGATATTTAGTAATTAACGGATTCTTCCTCTTAAACCACCATGAAAGAAAGTTTGCACTCTGTCTGTGACTCTTTGGAGAGTCACAGACTTTTTTTAAAAAATCTATAATTCTCTGCTAATTAACAAATACCTTCATTTGAGATTTTTTCTTTAACAGGGTGCATACAGGTAAACATTCTTACATAAATAAAAGCATTGCAACAGATGTCAAACAAGATAACCAAAACACTAGTTAGATTCTTAAAGTCATGATCTAGCAGTGCAAACCAATGACTTTATGTTAAATCTCTGGTTGTTTGGAGCTAATTAAAAATGCAACAAAGCTTTTAGAATAAGTTACGCACTCTAACATATTACCATACCAGTGTTAGC